CTTTCGCGATCGTGCGCGGCCTCTGCCTCGCCCAAGAGAGTCACATCGATCGTTGCCACGACAGTTTCGATGTCGAGGGAATCATCACCGGCGCGAGACCTCTCTGCCCAAGTGCGCCGGCAAATCTCATCGTATACGAGCCCCAGCGCGCCACTCCGATTAGCATTAGGCGCCTGCGCGGCCACCTGCCGCGCCGCGCGCGCATCGCACTCGCGCCGCTGGATCCGCAGAGCAACGGCGATAGGCGGGCCTTCATGACGTTCTGGCGGTGGCGAATCGTCGCAGCCAGCGTCATCTGCTCCGTGCAGACGCAAGCGATGGCGTACCTACGCGCTCGGACGACGCCGTTGCTCTTGGGTGCGCGCCCCGCGCGCAGACGCGTGCACCTGTCGAAGGCGGCATGCCACTGCGTGAAAGTGAGCGACTTCGCTTTGACTGGGTTCGCTACGCCGAGCGCGCGCGAAAGGTCGCGAAGATCCCGAGACATGGGCGGGCCCTCATCAGCCTCCTCTTTCGCGCTCTTCGATTCTGCCCAGGACGGCAAGAACTTCTTCAGGTCAGCGAACACAAATGGCCGCTTGATGCCGCGACGCTGCAGCCGCCTCACGTCCGTCTCGAGGGCGTCGACCGCCGCGGACCGCGGCCAAAACGCCTGGCCCACATCCTTCAGAGCGCCTCCTTGCAACTTCGCCTGAATGTCCACGTGGCACATCGGCTCAGGTGCTGACCCGCTCCCGGCCGCGCTGCCTGCGCTGGCCGGATCAGCCGCGCGCTGTTCCTCCGCTGTCAGAGACTTCGCGGCAGCCATCACTCTGGCTAAGAAGGAGCGCTTACCCGCGGACGGGTTGCCCTGCAGTGCGCCGGGATCTGCAAACGCAAGATCACGCACTGACTCCAACTCATTGTCCTGCGCGCGAGGCACTGGCGCGTCGTGGCGGCATTCGCAGCCGCTCGCGGCGCCTGGCATAGGGCTGCGCACTGCCGAAGCCACTCGGCGCCGCGGCTTGTATCATCATGGGCCGCAAGAAAATCAGCCAGGCTCATGGAAAGCGTGGGCGTTGCAGCGCACATCGCTGGTGCGGCCGCGGCGCGCCCAACGGCGTATGCGGCTCGCGTCTTCTGCCTGCGCGCACTGCTGGCTCCGTCGCGTAACAACGATCATTGCGCGCGTCTCCTGACGAATGTCAACATGCTGGGCGGCGGAAACCGGTCGCATTGACGCGGTAATATTGGCGTGGTCGCACTGACACGGTCGCGCTGACACGGTCGCAATGACGCATTCGCTTTTACACATTCGCATTGATACGGTCGCGGCGAGACGGACGCGTTGACATGGTCGCAACGGCACGGTCCCCTTGACACGCCCCACAAGACACGGACGCAGTGACGCGGAGAAATTGGCACGGTCGCAACGACACGGCGTAATTGACGCGTTGCGTTGACGCAATCGAAAAGACGCGGTCGCATTGACACGGCCTTACAGACGCTGTCGCATTGACGCGATCTTACTGGCGCGGTCGCGTCGACACGGCCCAGGCACGGTCGCATTGACACGGCCGCATCGACACGGTCACATTGACGCGGTCATACTGGCACGGTCGCATTGACACGGCCATAGCACGGTCGCATTGACACGGCTTTATCGACACGGTCGCACTGACACGGTCGTATTGGCACGGTCGCATTGACACGGCCCAGGCACGGTCACATTGACACGGCCTTATTGACCCGGTCTCACTGACACGGTCGTATTGGCACGGTCGCATTGACACGGCCAAAGCACGGTCGCGTTGACACGGCTTTATCGACACGGTCGCACTGACACGGTCGTATTGGCACGGTCGCATTGACACGGCCCAGGCACGGTCGCATTGACACGGCCTCATTGACACGGTCATACTGACACGGTCATACGGAAACAAAAGCCGCCACGGCGGCCCGCGACGCGCGCACCGAGGGCGCCAGCCTCGCGTTCGGCCGACAAGCGCCCTCGGGGCAGCGCGCGCGACGCGGGGGTATATTTACCCTCCCCCCACCGCAGGGAGACGTGGACAAAGAACACGAACAAGACGAGGAACACGAAGTCCATGAAGACCTGAGGCGAGCCACCCCAAACGCACCCCCCAACCGACCCAACCCGCCCCACCACAGGCACCGCGGCGAACCGCGGCGCCAGCGGCGGGGCGGCAGGGGTAGAAGGTTCCCAGGTCCGCGTTTTTGTGACAACGAACAAAACTGCGTTGTGTTCTCGCCAAAAAATGACGGCCGCGACGCCCTCTCGCGAACCGAAAACAGCCAATTTCTTAATCGACGTGTCAGGGCAGGATGTCTATCCACCTCCGACTCGACCGCCTCTTCTGCGCCAGCATGGCGCGCCGAGCGACGGCAGGTTCGCGACCCCAGCGCTGGTCTTCGACGCCGCTCGGATCGCTCCGGCTCGACTGAGCTCGCGGGCAAAGACAGGAGAGCACGGGGGGGGGATCCCCTCCGATCGCGCTCCCCGCCCGAATCCCTCATGGGAGCGGACGCCACCATAGCGGCGAGCTCGCCCGGCAACGCCACGGACAGCGCGGTGGTCTCCGAACTGCTCCTCCCGCGGCAGGCTGGAAGGGCCTCGCGCGCTGCCAAGCGGCCCACCGGCTCCACGGACAGCGCGGCGGCCTCCGCGCTGCTCCACCTGCTGGGGCTCGCGCGCTGCCGAGCCGCCTGGCAGCTCCACGGCCAGCGCGGCGAGCTCCAGGCCGCCTCCTTGCGCGCAGTCCCACAGCCAGAGCTACGACCACCTGCAGCAAACCGCCCATGGTCTGCGTGCTGCACTCCGCAACGGCCTTGTCGCCACAGCCGCGTCCTCCTCCGAGCCCGCGGCGGCCCCGATCCTCAGCTGCGCTGGCGGCACCTGGGGATCGCAGAGGCCTCACCTGTAGATGCGCCAGCGGCCTCCGCGATCCCCAACCTGTGGCCAGGTCCTGCTCTGATCCCCAACCTCCAGCTGTCGCCGATACGACCGGCAAACCCTAGCCGCGGACGCTCCGATGACGCGAGCTCGGAAGCAGATCCGGCCAGACCACACGCCACCGCCGAAGCCGCCGCAGCCGCGGGACCGTCGCCGGACCAGCTCATCGCCCAAGATGCTGCGGCGGAACCCAGACAGGAAAACAGGAAACGGGTGACCGAAAGCACGGAACCGAACTCGATAGCGGAGCTCGGGACAAAACTGGCCATGAATACGCGAGCGTCATGTGACTTCGTGCATCCTGCACACCTCCTCCTCCTCCTCCTCGTCCTCCTCCTTTTCCTCCTCCTCCTGCTCCTTATCAGCATCATCATCATCATCATCATCATCATCATCATCATCATCATCATCATCATCATCATAACCATCCTCATCATCATCATCAGCATCATCACCATCATCCTCATCTTCCTCATCATCATCAGCATCATCAGTATCATCGTCATCATCATCTTCATTATCATCAACATCATCGTCAGCAACATCATCATCATCATCCTCATCCGCAACACCATCATCATCACCATCATCATCAGCATCCGCGTCATCACGTTCCTTAGCATTAGCAGCATCATCCTCAGCATCAGCATCAGCATCACCAGCATCATCATCATCATCATCAGTATCATGACCCTTGTCGTCGTAGTCGTTAGCATCATCATCATCATCATCATCATCATCACCATCAATACACTTGTCAGCATAATCACCAACATCATCATCATCATCATACGCATCATCGCCTTCTGCTTCTTCCTCATCATCACTAATACCAGCAGCATCAGCATCAACATCGCCATCATCACCATCATCAGTCGTAGTATCATCATCAGTAGTATCCTCATCATCATCATCATCAACAACATCATCACCATCGCGATCGCCATCGCCATTATCATCACCATCACCATCATTACTAACATCATCATCTTCATCGTCACCATCACCATCATACCCATGAACACAAACACCGACATCGCCAACATCACAATGTCATCGAAATCCTCGTCGCAATCGCCCTCCCCGGCCACATCATCATTATTGACAGTATGAGCATCGGCAACGCCATCCTGGTCTTGATTGTCTCATCTTCATCCACATCACCATCAACAGCAGCATCGTCATCGTAATCGTCGACATCGCCACCTGTATCAGCATCATCATCAGAACACCACCACGACCACCATTGCCATCACCAACATCACCACCACCACGACCATCATCATCAACTCAGCATCATCACCACCACCATCGTCACACGCACCATCTGCATGGCCATGGTCATCGTCATAGTCCTCATCCTCCTCCTCATGATCATCATGATCGTCGTCGTCTTGGCCGTCATCATCAACATCATCATCGCACTCCCTGCCTCCCTCCCTCCTCCACTTCCCCCTCACCCGCGCGCGCGGGGGAACGCGGGCGGGGGAGGAGGCGCAGCACGATGAGGAGGAGGAGGAGGAGGCGGAAAGAAAAAGGGAATCGAGGATGACGACGACGAAGGGGGAGAAGGACCTGGGACGGGAAAGCGGGGCAAAAAAGAGGAGACGGTGGGAGGGGACGGGGAGGAGAGTGAAGGCAGCGAGGGTGCGGGCAAGGGGAAGGAGGGGGAGGTGATGAGGGGACGACGAGGGGGAGGAGGAGGAGGAAAGGGAGGAGGAGGCGGAGATGGAGGAGGAAGTGGAGGAGGAGGAGGAGGAGGAAAGGGAGAAGGAGTAGGAGGAGGAAAAAGAGGAGAAGGAGGAGGAGGCGGAAGAGGAGGGGGCGGAGGAGGCGGGGGATACCTCCTCCTCCACCTCCTCTTCCGCGTTCCCCCCCCCCTCCGGGTGAATGTCTCGTTCTCCTTCTCCGCCGCTGCCCGTGTCGGCGTCGCCATGATAGCGCGCCCGCCCAAGTCAACGGCTCGCACCGAAGTGCCCGCTGGGAAGTGCCTAGCGGTCAGCGCCAAAGCGGCCGCGTCGGTCGCGCCAAACTCGCAGCGTTTCAGACGACTTCGTTCACGCCTCGGCCTCGTGCCGGGGCACTGGAGGGCGAGTCGCAGGAGGACGGGACAGAGTCGGCGGCCCGCCAGGGGTGAAGGCAGGGGGGCTGGTGTTCTCAAAGGCGGCGGGGCTTCTCAGAAGCCCTCCCGCCTTCTGAGAAGCCGCCTAGCGGGCCCCTCTGCCTGACCCTTGCCATCTAGGAAGCGGGTCCTGGAGGAAACGAGTCCTACGCCCCAGGGCTTTCCCAAGGACAAAGCATGAATCCTGTATCGTGCTTTGACAACCCCGATGGCCCTGGAACGGACCCCAAGAGGCCGAGAACGGCGAACAAGCCCCAGGACCCGTGCCCCCCAGAACCCGCTCATTTCATGGCGATTCGCCCCCAGGTGGAAGTCGGGCCTGTCCCTTTACAGGAAGAAGATTCCAAAATAGTGATAACACAACAGAAAATGGGCACGATTTGTCGACTATTTCTGACCTTTTTTGGATCTGTTTTGACGATTTTATGTTTCTCGTCCAAACTCCGCCTGTAGGAGGACATGCCCGACCTAACCCCACGTGCGCCGCCGACGGAGACCGCCAGCCAGCCTTGGCTCCTTCCCGGACGCTCATGGTCACGGGATGGCCCTCTCGGCCAGAGTGCCCGAACGGGCCCACGCCCGCTGCAGCACGGTCTCACTGGCAACACGCCGCCTGCGGGCCAGCTCGCTGGCAGCTGCTCGGGGGGCCCCAAACCGTGTGGTGACGGACCGCGTGGCGACCTCGGAATCCCAAGAGACCTCACCGCGCGGTCCGGCACCGCACGGTTTTGGGACCTCCAGCGCCCCAGTCGCCCGAGACGGCCTCGAAGAGCCACCCGAGTTCCAAAACCGACTGGTCGCCACACCGTGTGGGGCCCCCCGAGCGGTGCGCAAGCTGCGAGGTGGCACATCTGGAGCAGAGCGGACAGCCATACGCAGGCCACAGGTCCCGCTGGCGGCCCGCGCGTGGCCAAACCAGAGGGCAGCCATGAGCAAGCCACGAGCGGCACCTTCTAGGTAAAACCGGCATTCCGATATTCGCAGACAGCATCTGCACACCACCGCCACCGTGCCTGGCCAGAGCCAAGAACGCTAGTGGCGTCCAGATGCCTTCCCTGGGATCCGACGTTGCAAAGAAAACGCACCTCGAAAAAACTCACGGCCAAAGCCCTGGACCCCATCATACTGGGGACTTCTTCGAGCTGGATCGGTCTGTGATGGTCCTGGGTGCCGAATAATGGCGAAAACGCCGGGCGCAAAAAGAAATACAGCGCCCAGATCTCTGAGTTCTGCGGACATCAGGCGGCCAGGCAGCCGCGCTACGCGGCGTCTACAGCGCTAGCGCTGCCCAGGCATTCCTGGTAGCCCTTGACTGTCTTGAAGGGGTGGAACGCGGCTATGCCGGGCGCATTGCACGCCTGCCAGCCGGGCGGCGGGTCGCAGTGGTCCTCTTGGAGGAGAGCCCACTCGAACTCTCGAGTGACGTTCAGCACCTTCCACAGGCACTGGTCCAAGAACATGTCCTCGCCCCACTTGCAAGGGCCCGAGCACAGCCCTGTAAAGTGCTGCAGACAGTGGTCCTTCCCTCGGCCGAACGCCTGCAGGGCGTTCCGGGAGAAGACCTCCAGCCATGCTGGCGCCGCCTCTCTCAGGGGCGGAGGGCCAAACAGGCAACCGAACGGACTCTCGGAGCTGCAGTGCATCGGCCGCACTCGTTTTCTCACGGGGTGCCTCTGGTGGGCATGTCCAATTGGCAACTGGCCGCCTGTCTGTCCCCGCGCCTCTCCGATGGGGCGGGGCCACCAGGCACCTCCACGGGTCCGTGCATGCCCATCTTGCAATTGTTCAGGTACGCCCCTTGGGGGCTCTCCGAGTGCCGCGTCAGCAGGCTCCTCGGGGCCGAGGAGGAGCGCGTGCGCACACCACCACCAGGCCTCCACCAGGCCCATGCCAGGGTCAGTCAAGATCGAAGCGGGAAATCGGATGGAATCGGAATGCGCGTCGGATCGGCCTGCATCGGCACGGAGTCGGAATCGGATCGGATCGGCTGCGCCAGGATGCACAACAGCGCCATGCAAGCATCGGCCCGCATCGGATCCTCGGAATGTCGGAGTCGAATCGGATCGAGACGGCCGAAATCGTTATCGAATCGGATCGATCGGCACGGAATGGGCCCTGCCATGCTGGGCCAGGATCTTGGCGTGCCCGCCACCGTCCCCCGAAGCACGTAACGTAGTGGAGTTCTGCTCAGGCCCCATTCGAGCTCTCCGTGCTGCGTCACCCCTGAGATCCGACGTTGCACAGAGAAGCAAGCATCACGAAATCGCCAAAACACCGTTTAGGTCCACCCCTGGGGCTCTCTCGTAGCCTCTTGGGCCACCCTGGAGGTTATGGCGGGCGCCCGCAGAGCCCAACATGGCTTAAAAGCCGAGGGTTACTGTGTGACTACACGCAGCGAGAAGCCATCTTAAGGACCCCCCTGTGTTGCTTCGGCACCGGAAGAAACATCTGGAGGGGGGATTCCACCAAACTGACCGCCCAGTGGGATGGTAGCACACTTAACGAATCGATGAATTAATGAATGGATTACTAAATCAATTATGGGAGAGGGTGGGGGCGGGGGCAGGATCGTGGCCCTGGGAATGCCCAAGCACCGTTATTTTCCATGAATCGTGGCCCTGGGAGCGCGGGCGCATTGCAATCTGCAAGAATCGTGTCCCGGGAGCGCGGACGACGCGACATGTACAAAAAATCCTTCATCAACCCGGAGGAATCCGCAGGAATCCGCAAATGATTCCTTCAGGAACCATTTTGAATCCGCCGACCCGTTGTGGGTCTCCAGGCGTGTGAGATTGGTCCCCCCCCATACCCCCCCCCCCAGGGACCCCAAACCGGGAAGTTGACCCCTCCCCCTCGCCCGGGACGACCCCGGACCGAACTCACCCGGGGCGGTCTGGGCTCCCTGGGCTCGCTCTTGAGCTGCACGACAGCACTTGACGCCTCCCAAGAAGCCGCCAAGACGGTCCACGAGAACCCAAAGTCGCCGAAAGATCGTTCCAAGACGCCCAGGATGAGCTCAAAACGGCCCAAGAGGCCGCCAAGACACCCCACGAAGCCTCCAGGAGGCCTCCCAAGAAGCCCCCAAGAAACCAAAATCTTCACATTCCCCTGGGAGAGTGCATTTTCAGCATATCCAAATTGTTAGCCTGCACGGCGATGACAACCGTTCACGAGGCCCCCACGAGTCCACCAGGACCATCCCAAGACGGCCCACGAGGCTCCCAGGAGGCCCCAAAGACAACCCAAAAGACTCCAACGTGGCCCAAGAGGCGCCCTAGACGGCCCAAGAGAGCTCCAGGACGGCCCCAATAGAGGGACCACGAACCGCGAATTCCAGCGCTCCGCCCAACGAAGCTCTCCAGGAGGACCCAAGAGTCCCCCAAGCGGCCCCCAGAGGCCCCCATGAGGCACCCAAGAGGTCCCCAGGGAGTCCCCAAGGCTTCACGGACCTCCCAGAAACCCGAAGAATCTGCACGGGAGTCGCGCTCCCAGGGCCACGCAACCACCAAAAAAGCGCTGCGTCCGCGCTCCAGGGGCCACGATCCCTTGTAAATTGCGCGGCGCCCCTGCTCCAAGGGCCACGATCCTGTGCGAATAACGGGCCTGCACTTTGTGAATTACGCTGCGCCCGCACTCCCAGCGATAGCATCCCCAATGAGTTGCGTTACGTCCGCTCACCCGAAGACACGAGCCCTACTGAATTACGCTGCGTCCGCGCTCCCAAAGCCAAATCCCTCGAAGATTGCGCGGCGTCCGCGCTCCCAGAGTCATTATGCCGTGTAAAGTGCATTGTGTCCGCCCCACCCCAGGGCCAGGATCCATCGTGAGTTACGCCCTGTCCCGCCACCCCCAGGTCCAAGATCTTTAAACAAACATTGCGTTGCGCCCGCGCTCCCAAGACCAATATCATTCATACATTACGCGGCGTCCGCGCTCCAGTGGACACGGTCCCTGGTAAATAACAATGCTTCCACACTCTCAGAGCCACATAGGCATCTTAGGGGGCGCCGAAGCCGAGCAAATGCTGCAAAACAAACGGTTCGCTTGAGACATCATGGAGGATTCTGCGCGCAGGGCTCACCAAGGAAACCTTGAAGAAGTTGTGAGGAAGTTTTGAAGGAGTTCTGGGGGACCCTTACAAACCTCCAGGGAACGGCAGCACACCGGAAGATATTCTGAAAACTATGTCGGAAGACCTAAAAGGAATATTTCGGAATTTGTATCAATATTGAAACATCTGTTTAAGACTTAGGAAACCCAACGGAACTCTCAAGAACCCAATTAAGCCTCAGGAATCCTACAGGCATCTCGTGGGATCCTTCAGCAGCCGGCACGAATCCACAAGAATCCTAAGGACACCTCCAGGAATACTTCGGAATCCGATCGTATGCACCATCAGCAATCGAGTGATTCTTGGGCGGGGCAGCGAATTCTCAAGAACCTTCGGACAATTTTTCAAGGACCCCCAAGAATTCTCGTGAATCTTTCGGATCTGTTGAAGGAGTCTTCAGGAATCCTTCGGGAATCGCCAGGGATCATTCTGCATTCCCTCAAGAATCTCCTTAGGAGTCCGCAGCAGGAATCCTCAGGAATCCTTCTGGATTCTCACAAATCCGCCAGAATCGCCAAGATCCCGCATGAATCTTCGCAAATCCAAAGGAAGTCCGACAGGAATCCTCGAGAATCCTTCAGGCATCCTCCTGGCGCTTCAAAACGGATTCCTACAGGAGTCCTGAAGATTCTGGAAAGAGTCCTGCGAATTCCACGAGGATTCCTGGTGGGCCCTGCTGGGTTCCGAAAATATTCCGACTGATTTGTAAGAGTCCCCGAAGATTCCGGGGCTTTCATGAGGATCCGAGAAAAATCCTTACTGTCAGGCCAGTTTAGGCTCAAGCCGTCCTAAGCTAGATTGGTTGACTGGGATTGTCTTGGGTCAGGCTGTCTTGGACTCTCTTGGGCCGTCTCGGGGTGGGCTGTCTTGGCCCCCATGTACTCTCATCGGCGTTCATTGCCGCATGCGCTCTCATAGCGAAGGGAGCCGCTGCCTGTAGCATGAACAACCAGGGCACCTTACTGGCCAAAAATGTCACACCCCCACATCCTGCTCCCGTGATAGTTCGGGATCCTGTAAGATTCTGAATACTCCTGAAGGTTCCCGTAGGTTTCCGAGAATCCCTGAAGAATGCCTGAACATTCGTGAAGCCTCTTGAAAGACTTGTGCCGGCTCCAGCCTGAATCACGGAGGACTCCTGACGATTCCCAAAGGTTCCTTAGGACTCCTAGGTTTTCGTGTGGGCCCCAGAGGTCTCCTCAAAATTCCGGCGGATTCTTGAGGCTTGCCGCACGGAGCTTGATGAAGTTAGCTTCTCCCGGCCTTCCTGGGAGGCCTTTCTCACCGCATGGACGCATCATCGCGTTTCGTATTGCGTCACCACTGGCCGCGGAGGACCCCCCAATCCTGGGATCTCGCCCTCCCCCACCCCCACCCCCACCACGACAACGGTATTTAGCAGCCGTATTCAGCAATTCCTCGGGGAAGAGCCACCCTGCATCTGTGAAGCGCTTGCACATGTTTTGCGCGGCCCTCGGGCGAGACCCACGTTTGGAAAAACACTCGCGCTCCATCCGCGAAGCTCTTGCAAGCACTGAAATCGAATGCGCGCAACGCTAGGGTGAGAACCACATTTTGCAAAAGACCGACCGTCCATCCGTGAAGCACAAACAAACTGTTGAAACAAATGCGCGCGACACTAAACCTAGAATCATTTTTTGAAAGGGGCCCGCTCTCCATCCGTGAAGTTCCCATCTGCGCGGCGCTGAGGCGAAAGCTACATTATCAAAAAGACCCGCCCTACATTCGCGAAGCTCGAACAAACGTTTAAGATGAATGTGCGCGGCACTACGGCGAGAACCACAGGTTGGAAACGAATGTGCACGGCGCTGCGGCGAGAGCCAGATGTTCAAAAGGGCCTGCTCTCCGTCCGCGAAACTCTTGCCTTTTTAATGTAAAAAACAACCATGCACATGACTATAACTATATGTATTAAGCAAAACAATTTGCGCAACGCTAAGGCGAGCACCGCATGCGTAACAGGGACCGGCCTCTATCTCTGAAGCTCTAACACCAATGTTTCAAACGAATGTGCGCGGCGCTGAAGCGAGAACCGCATTTCGAACAGGACCCGCACTCCGTCCGTGAAACTTGTTCGCTCTGTCGAGACAAATGTGACCAGCGCAGTGGCGAGACGCTCAATTTGGAAGGGAACCGCCCTCCGTCCGCGAAGCTCCTGTAAACTGTGAAGACGGATGTGCGCGGCGCCGGGGCGCGGGGCACATCTTCAAGAGGGCCCGCCCTCCACTCATGAACTTCGAACAACAGCCAAAAACGAATGCGCGCGGCGCTGAGGCAACAAAAACACGTTTCGAAAAGGGTCCGCCCTCCGTCCGTGAGGCCCTTTCAAATGCGTAAAGCGAATGCGCGCGACGCCCAGGCGAGGGCCACATTGTGAACACGAACAAGTACCGCCCTCAATCCGCGAAACGGTTGCACAGTTGAAGCGAATGTGCGCGACGCTAAATCGAGAACCACGCTTTGAAAAAGACCCGCCCTCCATCCGCGAAACTCTTTCAAACTCTGCAGAAGAATGCTCGCGACGCTAAAACGATACCACTATTCTGAAAAGGACCTGCCCTCCATCCGTGGAGCTCTTGCAACCTGGCCTGAATCTATGCAAGAAAAGGTGAATGAAGGAATGTGCGCGGCGATTTGGCGATGGCCAAATTATGCACAGGGGTCCGCCCTCTATCCGTGAAACTGATTCAACTGTTGAAACGAATGTGCGCGGCGCCGAGGCGGGAGCCACATTATCGCTGGAAAGAAGGAGAATCACCTCCAGAGGGCCGAAAGTGATACAGTTTTGCCGGAAGGGGAGGGGGTTCTCAGTGCGCTCCCACGGCCAGATGTACAAATCTACGTTCGACCTCACGAGCGCCCACGACGGCCAAGAAAGACGCGCGGCCGAGGGGCCCCCAGAGACATCCAGGAGGCCCCTTGCACACGAATCGAGCTTCGCGGCGCGATCGGCGGACGGCCACCAGACATCGTGGCTTCTGGCCCAGTAGGGCGGCCATGCATACCAGGAGACCATTTTTTGTATCGGCGATACCCCTGCGTATGCCCGCACCCCCCCACCCCGGACCTGCACAACCGGCAAGGTTAGGTTATCCCGGGGGGGGGAGGGGGGGAAGCCAGATAACCGGGGTTATCGCCGGACCCTAAAAAAAACAGTCTCCAGGGCCTCGCCCCAGAGTGGGCCCGCGGACGCTTGGTGGTGTCACTGTTGCCACCCTCCCTTGGAAGCGGCAGGGGTCTGCGCTGGATGCCCCCCCCCGTCAAAATTCAGCCAGGAGGGAGGAGGAGGAGGAGGAGGAGGAGGAGGAGGAGGAGGAGATGGAGGAGGAAGAGGAGGAGGAGGAAGAGGAGGAGGAGGAGATGGAGGAGGAAGAGGAGGAGGAGGACGAGGAGGAGGAGGAGGAGGACGAGGAGGAGGGGAAGGGGGGGAAGTGAGGAGGAGGTTTTTTGCAGGTCTTGCGAGGCGACGGTCTCTCGCGCGTGGGCACACGCGCAAGAAAGAAACTCCGCTCAAAGTCGGTCCCTGGGTCCCGGGGTCGAAATGACCAAGTTTTCAGGTGCCACGCCCAGCCGTAGCGACGAGGGGCTGCTCTCTCCACCCTCTCTTCCGGCCAGAACTGGTGCTGACTCAAGCCCCTCTCCGATCCTGAGCCTGTTCGGCAGGAAGACGGCGTCCGGGTCGACTTTGGCAGTCCACCCGTGCAGCATGAAGCGGCCCTCGTCCAAGACCTCGCGGCAGGGCACCAGCACAAGCGGTCCCTGGTGATGGGGAAGCCCAGCAGAGACACACGGATACCGCTACTCCCCGGGCCTCTCGGAACGCAGAGTGGCGAATCCAGCGGTGGCGACGAGGGCCTCCCAGAATGCCCAATCAGGAGGAAGACGGGCGAAGGCTAGCGGGCGCGGAGACGCCGCGCGGCGGGAGGCACCAGCGTGTCGAGACGCAGGTCGCCCAGCTTCGCGCTGCGCACGACGCGCGACGCCCGGCCCTCGCCGCGCGCCGCGCGCCGCCGCCCTCGAGGAGGGGGCCGTGCGCGGGCTGGGCCGCGAGGCGAGGAGGCGCGACCCTCTTCGCGCCCCTGCGAGGCGGCCCCGGGACCGCCCCGGGATGCAACGAAGCCAGGACGAGGTTTCGGGTTCTAGGGTTCTAGGGCCTAGGGTTCAGGATTCGGGCGAAGGTAATTCGAGACTCTGTGAGATCCGGCGGCAGTAGCGGGCGCCGCACCCTGCTCAGAGGGCTCCGGCACCCTCTGAGCGTTCCAGCACGCTCTGGAAGGGACTTATCCTCGACCTGGCCCCGTCCGACGGGGACCGAATTACCTGTGTCCAGGGGCTGTCTGTGCGCAGCCCGTGCGCTGAGGTCGCCCGCATGGGGGTCCGACTAGAGGGGTCGATGCTTCGGCGAAGCATCGGCGACGTCACGGAGAAGATCAGGCTTCTGACCGCGCCGCATCGCCGACGCCTCGGCAATGTTGCGCGATCCTCCGAGGGCACCGGCTCGGACCCTACCGGGGGGCACGGAAACTGCCTCCTGGGGGCTCTCTGCGCGCAACCCGTACGTAGTCCTGTCCAACGTCCCAGGGGGCCTCAGTCCTCTCGACTCCCTGACAATTGTGGGGCCTGGGAAACGGTCTCCGGTTGCCAAAGATTCAGGAAAAATCAACGAAATCGATTGATGTTGTCGAGGAGCTGGCATGTCTGGGTATCCGAAGAGCCTTGGCCCACAGGGCGAGGAAGATGTCGGTGTTCAGCGCCGTGCCGAACTCGCCGCCCTTCTCGCACCGAAGGTCGCTGTCGATCTTCCTGGACCTCAGCCCTGGCGCAAGGTCCAGCTCCTCCGGAGGGTGGGAGGGGGGTCGGAGGGAGGGAGGAGCAGAGCGGAGGGGAGCACGCTGGGGACACAAGTCGCAACACAACTCGGATCTCGGCATCGCTCGAACGTCCATTCCCCGTGCATGTTTCGATTTCGTGCGTGTACTTGGCACGATAACCCAACATGCTCCTCGATGGTCCCCGCCCAGAAAATACTCACGAAAGAGTGACGCCGAGGGAATGAAGAGAAATCGATTGTCAAGCCTTCTGCTTCGGGCTTCTGCTATCCAGGTGTTCTCTTGATCCGCCGACCCTGTCTGCGTGTGTCAGGGGCTTGTCTGTTCGAGGCGTCGTCTCCGTCAGCTTTTGCCTCCGTCGTCCCCTTTCCCTGCACCCTCTTCCTCAAGCCTGTAAGCGGCAGAAACATCTAGCAATGTCGTGATCGAGTCGCAGAGACACCCTTTCCCTTTGACCCCTCCCCCGTCGGGGGAGGGTCCCGTGGGGGGTCCCAGGTGGGGTCCGGCGGGGGATGGGTCAGATACGCATCCCCCCTGAGAGTCCCAGGGCCTCGGAGTGCTCCAAGAGGCCCCCGAGACGGTCCAAGAGGGCCCCCAATCGCCAAAAGATCAGTCCAAAACGCTTTCACGCCCTCCAGGCTGCCGAGGAGGCCTCCAACACGCCCCAAGAAAACTCCAAGAGCACTCCCGAAGGGGCCCCAACAGGAAAATAGCATGTACTTATTGCCTCAGAAAAACAAGCAAAAAATTTGGGCGTTGTCGTTTTTCCTGCTTCCCGTCGCTCCAAGACGGCCTAAGAGGCTCCCAAGACCAAGATCGCCCCAATACGGCCCAAGAGGCCTCCAAGGGTGTCCCACAACAGCCCAAGAGGACCCCACTTCAGCCTGAAACGGCTCCAGGACGGCGGCCCGAAAAGCGCGCCCAGACGGGAGACCCGAACGGGCATTTCGAGCCCTCGGCCTCGAGAGGCTCCCAGGAGACCCCAAGAGGTTTCCAAGAGGCCCCAAGAGGCCCACAAGAGCCCCCCAGGAAGACCGAAGAGGCCTCAAAGAGGCTCCCGAGAGGCCCCAAGAGGCTCGCAAGAGGCCGCAAAGCTCGCCAGAGAGCTCCGAGAGCCTGTCGAAGAGACCCCAAAGAAGCATCCCTGAGGACTCTGGCCCACGTCCGAGCGGCCGTCGTCGCCGCCGTCGTCATCGTCGTCGTCGTCCCCCTCCAGGGTCGGCGGCACCAGTCGTAAGGCCTTCGCAATTTGGCTGGACAGCATAATGCACTGTCCTCCTCCTCCTCGTCTCTTCTTCCTGCTCCTCCTCCTCCTCCTCCTCCTCGTCCTCTTTCCCTTCGCCTTCTCCGCGCGGGCGATGGCCATACTTGCCACAGTTGGACGGAGCGCCCGAGACAAAAAAAAAAAACACCTGGGCGCAACGGTCAACAGCAGCACTAGTGTAAGGCAGCAGGCAGGCCAAGAGGACCCACGCGGGGAAAGGGGGAGAACGACGGAGGTAGGATGACGAACACAGCCGTGACGTGTCCTGCGACGGCGGATGGTGAAGCGCAAAACATCTCCCCCAAAAAAGCAGAGACAGCAATCGATCCAAGTTAAATGACAGCATGAGTATGAGACATAGCAGCGTACCCAACGAGCGGAAGAAGTGGGTTGAAATATGAAGTAGGAAGGTGCTGAAGTAGATTGGGCTTCTGCCCGCCCCCTGCACAGGAAGGGACAGGTGAAACCACTCGATCATTCAAGTAGGAAGGCGCCTAAAGTATGTAGATTGGGATCCGAAAATTGCAAAAAAACGTTCAACGACCGACGGATAACCATACCGCTTCGAAGGTCCGCGCGGATCTCTTGGATCGGTGCAAGACCCCGAGGCCAGCCCCTGTGGCGCAGCCTCTGGCGCGCTGGGTCGGCAAGGGAGGAGGGTCAAGCGCCGATCCTAGCAGTCAGCGCAGAGCCCTGAACATTGCGATTCCTCCTTCTCGCTTTCGAGTGGGGCCAGGTGTGGTGAAGAAACCTCTGGACAGTCTGCCATCATCCGAACCACCACCAACAACACTACTGCAGGTTCGTGTCGTGACAACCCTTGTGTTCTGACACTGCGCGGATCGTCTGACCTTTGGCGATCGGCAGGTGTTCGATCGCCAGGTCGTTCCATATTGGCCGATGCGGTGTTCAATCTGGAATAAAAAACAGAAAGCGTGACCATGGCCCGGACTACTCTCGGACCATGCTGAGGCCAACTGGGGCTACTCAGGGGGCCAGTAGAGGCCAGCCGGCCTGCAACTCGAAGCACTACCATCGTCTTTCTTCCCTTCCCTCGATTATTCGCCCGCGCAGGGGTCGCAGCCGCGTGTCGACACGCCCAGAGCCCACCGCACAACCCCCACACTGCAAAACGCGGCCGCGGCGGCGAGGACGACGACCCTCGGTGCGAGGATCTCCCGGCGCCCAAGACGACGAAGGCGGCGGCGGCGACGGCGGCGTTCACGACCACAGCGACGACGAGCACGAGGAAAACGCGACGCCGACGACCGTGAGGACAACGATGACGCCGACGACGACGACAATCAGGATGATGGCGACGCTCACGAGGACTCGGGGGACCGGATGGTGCCGGAGCTGCAACTCCCAGGACCGCTCCCGGGGTGCGTTCTGACGGGGACTTCCAAGCAAGTCCAGCCGTGGCGAGGAGGGCCACCGTGAAGACTTACAATGTCGAAAACGAGGCCACGACGACAACGACGGCGACCACGACGTCCACGACGACGACCACCAAGACGACGACCACCACGACCACGACAACGGCGGCGGCGGTGACCACCGCGCGCAGCTCGCGCGGCCCCGCGGCCCGCGCGGGGCCCTCGAGGGATCCTCGTTGCTATACACGGCGTACTCGTCGCAATCGAAGATGCCGCGGCCAGCCTCGAACTGGCCTCGCGCGCGGGGTGTGACGGGCGACAGGCGAACTCTGCGGCGCTGCTGCCAGGCCTACTGGAACGAGCTACAACAAGATACTATAACGACCCCCATCCTCGACTCTGTGGGATAATGGTAAGGGTCTCACAGATGGGGTCGGAGTAAACGGGGTCGGAGGATAGCGCAGCATCGCAAATGCGTCGCCGATGCGTCGCCGATGCGTCGGCGACGTGGGCGACGCACCGGCGACCTCGGCGTGGATAAAATCCAGCTCAACATCGAGCCGCATCGGCGATGCGTCCGCGATGCGGCACGATCCTCCGACCTCATCTGCCTCGACCCAATCTGGAAGGCCCAGAACTCTGCGGTGCTGCTGACAAGCCAACTTTGAAGAGAACAAGACATACACATAAAATTTCGGGGGTCCGCGCGGAGCTCCACTGACATTATCATCCTCATACGCACTCTCTCTCTCTCTCTCTGGGACTCACCCAATCACTGACTCAATAACTCACTCACTCACTCACTCACTAACTCACTCACTCGCTCACAACATGATCATCACCCTCGTCATCACCAACATCGTCTTCATCTCATACGCACTCACGCACTCACCTCACACGCACATACACACACACTCACACATTCACAAACTCACCGCGAGGGAAGTCTCGAGCGGGAGTCCCCTCTCTATGGGTCCCGCACATCATGTTTTTGTTGACAGAGGGTCATCCTCAAACCTGCAATTGTCCTTACGATTGGGTTCCCGAGGCCTGAATCTGGAGGAAGTCTCTGGCAGGATCCTCGTTCGAGAGTGAATCGCGAGGAAGTCTCATGCGGGAGCCCCCACCCCTTGGGGCCGCACTTCACGTGTTTGATCCCAGGGAGCCATCCTCAAACCTGTCACTGTCGTCACTTCGGGGGTCCTCTAACCTGACCATGAATAAATTTACAGCGGGAGCCTCGTTCGTGAATCGCGGGACCGTCTCACGCGGGAACCCTTCCCTATGGGGCCCGCACCTCGCCTTCTGTAATTTCCAGGGGGTCGTCATTAGACCTGTGATTGTCGTCGCCTTCGGGCCCTTGCGGGAGTTTCGCGACGAAGCCTTGAGCGGGAACCCCTCCCTGTGGGATCCTCACCTCCATGTTCGAATCCGAACGGGTCATTTGAAACCTGTAACTGTCGTCATCTACAGTCGGACTTGCGAGGGACACAAGACCCTTCCGAGGGCAACGTTTCCACAGAAACGCAGGAGGCATGGGTCGCAAGACACAGGACACGACGGTACCCTTGATCTGACAGGGTCGACCTACTGCTCCGGGCCGCCTGTATGAGCTCCTCAGGCCGGTGCATTTGGAAGACGTCTCGAGCGGGGGGGTCGTCGGTGCATGAATCGATCGGAAGTCTCGAGCGGGAGACCCTCCCTGTGGGCTCCCCACCTCCCCTTCGACTCCGAGCGGTGCATCTGAAACTTGAAATTGTCGTAGCTTTGAGGCTCCTCGAGCCCGGATCCGCAGGAAGCCTCGAGCGCGAGCCTCGTCGGTGAGCGAATCGCGAGGAAATCTCTGCCCTGGCCAGTAAAGCCTATGCACCGATCCTGGGTCCCAGGACAGGCCTGGCCAGAATCGGTGAGTGCATGTGCATACTTCTCTTGGCCCGAGAGATAGATGTCGACCCCTATCCCTAAGGGCCCCTATCCCCGACTCTGTGAGGCCTTCGACCAACAATTTGGGACCCCATTCGGGGATATACGATAGGGGAGTGTCCAGCCTTTACATGGGGTGCATCCGACTTTCCAACGGGGGTATATCCCCGAGTTTCCTTGACTCCTCTTCTGAGTAGCTGAATTTTTGTGGAAAGTTCGTGGGTTGGGGGCGAGACGTCGCCTGCGAGGAGAAGGAGGAGGGGACCCCGAAACTGCACCATCACTCCGACAAGTGAGAGGTGAGACGACACCAGGGCCAAGACGAACTCGGACCAGTGAAACACGGAGGACTCCGAGATCTGGCAGTTCTGGAGGATTTATCGCTCGCCGAGGCCGCTTCAGAGCGCTCAGGACGCTCTGAAAGCGTTCGAGAGCGTTCTGGAACGATTTATCATGGTCATTGGCCGGCCCGAGGAAAAGAATAGCTTCGAGCGGGGGACCCAATGCTATTTAGCGTTCTGGTTCGCACTGTAACACACGTCATGCAGAAGCGATGCCGGAACCTCCCGCTCCCCATCCCCCTCCTCCCCCATCCTCCCCCCATGACACCCTATCCCTCCCCCCCCCACCGCTGTCATTTTGGCACACGGGGAGCTTGCACCTCCGATAGCCTGGCCAAAGACCGCCAGGGCTTGCGTCCCGCACCAAATCTCTTATGTGAACAGCCTCCATGTCGGGATTCATGATGCCCGCGGCTATAGTCACATTGGAGTCCGCGTGTATCATGACGTCGCACTCGGCCAAGATCATCGCATCAACCAAGCAGTCTTGCGCGTCTCCAGCGCTCAGCCGGCCCTCCTGTCCGTGCACCTCCCTCGGCAGCTGCCTCTCGTTCACGCCCCCCGTGCTCCGCAGCACATCGCGGTGGAGCAGGCGGTGCCCGAACGCGTCCCGGAAGAGGGGCACCGCGGCCTCGTCGTCGGTCGCCAGCGCGACGGCGAAGTCCTCGGCGCAGCCCCGCTGCGCCACCAGCCGCTCCACCGCCAAGATGTAGGCCTGCGTAGAGGGAACGACCTGGGCGATCTGCATGCGCGCGGTGCCGGGGTTGTCCTGGAGGAGCCAAGAACCAGAGACACGAGCATCACCTTTTTGGAGGCCCGCGCGGGTTTCTTGGATCGGCGCTGGGTCCCAGCGCTGGACCCTGGAGCGCGCTGGGGGGGCCCAGCGCCGGGCCGAGAAATCCGCGCGGACCTCCGAGAATTCATGCTTAGTCTGTCTTTCCCAGATTGAGCAGGGACCGACCGTCCTGGCATTCTCATAGTCCTACCACGAAATGTTCATAGAACCCAAAAATGTCCTAAGAACAAAACACTGTTCTCAGAACATAGACCCGATGTGACAAAACAAGACAGACTCCGCCAGAAGTGCTCAAAGAACATATTGTGGAAACCACAAAAAAAAGGTTCTTAGAACACTGCCTGGTAGGGCTGTAGGCGAGCCAGGACGCTTCGCCGCTGCTTGACCAGATGTCCACTCGCTTGTGGACGCCCACGAGGACGGTCCCCTCTCTGAAGCGGATCGTGGCCACGGCCCGCCGGCAGGCCTCCCTCGCAGCGGCGCGGGGCCGCAGCAGCCTCGCCGCCGCCGCGCCGTAGAGCCGCCTCCGCCGGCCGGCCCCCGGCCCGCACAGGAAGCGGCCCCGGAACACGTTCACGAGCAGCACGTTGTAGCGCTGCCTCACCACGAAGGGCCGCTCCTCGGCGGCCGTCCCCTGCGCACCCGCCGCTCCTGGCGGCTCCGGGCCCTCTCAGGGGCAACGATACAGGGGGGGGGGCTGGCCCAGGGGGTGGAGCGTCGACCTGGGATCCGCGATGCACCACCGCTAGGTCCACACTGGGCCCTCGATTGCAGAACCACGCGTTCCTGGGCTTGGAGGGCTATCAGGCCCCTGTCGGCAACGAACGGGCAATTGGGGGTCGACTGATTCCTCGCTGAGCCAATCCCCCCCTGTCGTTCCTCGTGATCCTCGGCGGCCGTCCCTGGCGCATCCACCGCTCCTGGCGGCTCTGGAGCCTCAAACAGAGCGCGGAAAAGGTCCTCCCCGGCGGCACCGTAGTTGAACTCCCGCTCTCGACCAGACAGTATCCAGCACGGCTGCCGGGGCAAGCAATGCCAGAGGAACGGTGAGACGCGGCCACCTCCCTACAGGGCAGGCTCGAGGTCCTCCATCGTCGCCGTCGGCTGTCGTCGATCGTCGTCGGCGGTCGTTGCTGGGCGTCGACGGTCTTCGTCGTCGTCGCCCGTCGTCCGTCGGTCGTCGGTCGTCGGCGTCATCAGCGGTGTCATCGTCGGCGGCCCCCCCGTCGCCGTCGCCCTGCGGGTGGGGCGTGGGCGCGTCTCACTGGCCGCTGTGGTGTTGGCCGCCCCGAGGCTGCACGGCGGACGCGTCGGAGGCGAAAAGGCAAGCATCGGCGACCTGCAGCCAGTTGGCGAACAGCCCGTTGTCCACGGTCTCCACGCAGACACGCCGCGCAGCGGCGAGCTCGCAAATCTCCTCGAGGCAGTGCAGGATGAGCCGGGGCATCTGCCGCGCCTCCTCTAGAATCTGGACACAACGGAAAAGCCTGTGGAGGTCCGCGCAGATTTCTGGGATCGGCGCTGGGCCTCCCCGGCGGGGCATCTGGCGCCGCCCTGGGCTCGCTCCACGAGCCAGGCGCGCCAATCTGAGAAATATCTGCGCGGACCTCCGACAGATCTGTTTTGCAATTTGGCCTGATTCGATCCTCGCGCTGGAACAGCGGCCCACCTTCGTACGCCTCAGGCCCGCCGGTGGAGTCGGAGCCCCAGTCCGTGCCGTCCTTCACCAGCACCAGCGCCTCCTCTAGAGGGAGAGCATACAATTCATAAACATACCCTTTCGGAGCTCCGAGCTCAGCGCAGATTTCTCGGATCGGCGCTGGACCCCCCTTCCTGGCGCGCGGAGCGCGCCAGGGGCTGCGCCAGAGGCGACGCCAGGGGGGTCCAGCGATGTGTATGCCGATTCTCTGTCTACGGGTGGACCAGAAGCTACCAATACGCCTGCTCCGACGAGGGCCTTCCAGGAGGCCCAGAAAGGCGAAAACGACGGAAGTGCATCAGTATAGGCACCTTTCCTCCTCTGATCCTCCGCGCACTCTAGAAAGACCCTGAGCTTCTCGCGGGGCACGGCGTCAATGGCGCGCCCGAGCAGGCGGTAGGCCCGCGCCGGCATGCTGCACCGGAACACGCCCAGCCCCAGCTCAGGCAGGCCGCCCAGCAGCTCTGAGGCCCGGTGCTCGTCGCGCAGCCCGTGCAGCGCACCCCGCGGGGCGACCGCCGCGTGGCGCAGGCCTTGCCACGCGACGACGACGACGACGACGACGACGACGACGACGACGACGACGACGACGCCGCCGCCGCCGCCGCCGCCGACGAAGACCGATGATGACACCGACGGACGACGGACGACGGAAGACGGTCGACGGAAGACAGATGATGGACGACGGACGCCGGACGACGACAATGACGACGACGACGACGACGACGAGGACAAGGACGACAGACGATGGACCACGGACGACGGACGACGGACGACGGACGACGCACGCCGACCGACCGACGACCGACGACGACGACCGACGACGGCGACGACCGACGACAACTAACGACGACGTCCGACGGCGACGGCGACGTCTACGTCTACGACGACCGTCGACGGTCGACGACGACGATGATGACAAGAATGATGACGACGACGATAGCGACGACGACGACGACGACGAATGACGATGACGACGGACGACAACCACCGACGAGCGACGACGAGCGACGACGGCCTTGCCAGCGCCGTGGGTCGAGCATCGCGAGGACCCTGCCGCCGTTGCGCGAGCTCAGGCCCGACAGGCGGCGCAGGATGTAGTTCCGCATCAGCCGCCAACGATCCGCCAGGAGCGCGTCCTCGGGCGGGTGACCGTCGCCGAGCCACCACTGCATAAAGGGGCCAACCTCGGGAGCGCCGGAGGGGGAGGGGGCAGGAAGAGGCTGGGAGGCAATTTCTGGGAGGTCGTTGCAAGAGCGGTCAAGTTTGGTGTCTGCGTCGTCGGAGCCTACGTGGCCCCTGGCGCTGCCGGCTTTGGGCCCGATTTGGACAGGGTCTGGACAAGATTTGGAACACATTTGGGATTGGATTTGGACCAGAGTGGAACTGGATCCGCCCCTGGACAAGGGAGACAAGAAGAACGAGGAGGAGGAGGAAGACGAGGAGGAGGGAAAGGAGGAGGAGCAGGAGGGGCGAGGCGGAGAAGGAGGAAGGGCCGCGGTCCAAATTATGTCCAAGTGCAGGAAAAACTGTTTCAATGTCGCCGCCATAGGACCCCATGGGCAGACATCGAAATTAAGTGCCACTTAGCCCCATTAACGGGATATTGAGCTGGACTAGGCTGGATAAGGCTGGGGATCGAGCAGAGTAAGCGGGATTCGTCTGGGCTAAGCTGGACTATGCTGGATTAGGTCAGTTTTCGACCACGGATAATACGAGCGCCAATGCTGAACGTGACCTAGCAGGAGTTGCATCCTAAGATGAGCGGGGTCAGCGCACCATGGCCCGACGCACCATGGCCCGACGCGTGTGCGCGGACGGCGGAGGTGCTGAACGAACGTGCTGACCGAAGAAGACGAGAAGCCCATGAGACGAGGGAGACGTAATGGCCAAAACCACCATATCTCCCCCCTTTGAGCATGGAACGACCGCCCCAACACTCCTAGAGCCATACTACGGGATGTTCTCAGAACAACGGAATGCTCAAATAACCAAAACGATGTTCTTAGAAGAGTAGCCCGATGTGTTCAAACAAACCGGTCTCAGCCAGCAGTGCTCTAAGGGCACGTTATGCAAACCACAGACGGTTCTTAGATCATTATCTGGCGGGCCTATCACCCTGGCCTCCTCCTCCTCTTCCTCCTCCTCCTTCCGGACGCCCACGACAACCAGCAGAGGCCCCAGCTGCTCCGCGACGAAATACTCCACGTGCCGCGAGAGCTCCACAACCGAAGGCGCGGCCAACGGCCAGCCGACGCCTCCCGGGCTGAACAGCGCCCCGGAGTCGTAGAACCAGAAGTTCATCGAGATGTTCTCGGGGCCGAGGCTGTGCACGTGGTGGAACCAGCTCATTGGCAGAAATCCGCCCCGCCCCCGAAAGCCTGGCGCGAAGACGCGTGCGAGATGCCTGGCGCCTAGCTGTCCCCCCCTCCCCCCTTGGCTCCCCCTCCCGGAGGGCCGCAAGTCCTGTGTGAGAGAGAGAGGGGGGGGGGACGAGCCCGACGGGAGCAGGTCCAGGGCCCTCGGACACGCCGAGATTCTGAACACCTCTCCCCTTCCTGGGGAAGCCGATACCGCTGTTCCCCCAACCTCTCCTGGGTGCGTTCTGACTAGAATTTCGAGGCGAATCCAGGAGGGCTTCCCTGGAGACTCGAAACGGCGAAAACGATGGGGAGGCTAGCGGCAGCGGTACCCCTTTTGGCATGAAGACAGCGGGTCCTGAGGGAAATGGGCCCTGGACCCCAGAATATCCCCCAGGACCATTGTTCTCATCCTCAGACGCTTCTTGGCAGTTTCGGGGCCCAAAGGAGGCTTCCGATGGCCCGCATACGGCGAACCAGACTCAGGACCCGCTTCCCTCAGGACCCTTTCTCTTCACGGCGACTGGGCATCCTCTGACCTCTGCAGAGGGGCAAAAGACTGCATAACCGCAAACGTTGGGAGGTCCGCGCGGACTTCTTCGATCGACGCTGGGCCCCCCTCCCCGGCGGGGCGCTAGGGGCGGCGCTGGAGGCGCCGCTAGGGGAGTCCGGGCGCCGACCCAGGAAATCCGCACGGACCTCGAGGCGAACCCACCCGTGGTGACGAGGGCCTCCCAGAACCCAAAAAGGCGAAAACGGGGGACCATCGCGAGGGAGCCCTGCGGCAAGGTGGGGCAACGACCGAGGACAACGCCGAGGGCGACAGAGCGAGACGGGCGCTGAAAGGAGGGAAACGCGGCGGCCGTGGCGCCGCTCCTGCAGCAGAGCATCGTTTAAGCGATCCCCGTCCCCAGCGGCGCGGCCGGGACCCCCCTGGCCGATGTACCCCCCTAGATGGGGATACAGGCCGCTCCCTTCGGGCTTCGCAGCATGTATCCCCAACTGGGGTGGTAACCTGGCGGGGGTCTCGAAGGGGATGAGGTCAGAGGAAGCTGAGCAGCGGCTCCCGGGCGAGCCTCCCGGCTGGATCCGGGGCGCTTGGCCGCGCCTGCGGGGCCGGCCCCTCCGTTCCAGGGCGGGGAGGGCGGGTGGGCGGAGCGACGCGAGCCGTCCGCACAGCAGGTCCCCGGGTTCCAGCAGCGCCTCCACGCCCCTGCCGAGCAGGGCGCGGCCTCGGGGGAAGGCCTCGAGGTCGGGGCGCTCCAGGTCGAGCCGGGCCTTCCTCCGGGGGCGTCCAAGAGGGGGTGCCTTCGAGGAAACGGGCACTGGCATGAACAGAAACTGTCGGAGGTAAGCACGGATGGATCGGATCGGATCGGCGCTGGGGCCCCCTGGCGGCGCCTCCGGCGCCGCTCCCAGGGGGGTCCACCGCCGATCCGAGAAATCGGAGCGGGCCTAAGAGAGTTTATGTTTATATTATTGTTTGCTCCCCGAGTCAAAGAGGGGTGTAACAAATCCGCCGACACTGTCGGCGTGTGGAAGAGGCTGTTCCGTTCAATTTGTCGTCGTGGTCATCGTCGTGGTCGTTGTCGTCGTCGTCGTCGTCGTCGTCGTCGTCGTCGTCGTCGCTTTTGCGTTCGCCGCTCCCCTTTCCTTTTCCCTAGGCCCGTTGTAATTTAGTCGAAGGGAAGCCCCTTCCCTTTGATCCTTTCACGAAGGGGGGGGGGTCCGGGGGGGGCAGTTTTCCAACGAGGCTATCAAACTGGATGGCTTGAACCATGACTTCTACATATCACACATTCAACGCTTGATTGTGGAACTGGTCTGAAAGTCCTTGGGGAAAAAGCCACGAAACTCAACTCCGACGCGTGTCTTTTTTTTCACAAACCCGGATATACATAAACTCTAGCGGAGCGTGGGGTGGTCGACGGATCTTTGGGTCACTCAATGCGCTATACACTAGTAGACTGAACTACGCTGCTTCACCATAAGACATGCAACTATGCGTTTCCAATCTCAAATGGGATCGCTAAGCGATACTGCGCGCCCGAAATCAAGAGCTCATGTGAAACTTACCAGGTACTGGAACACATGAGGATGAAGACGGAGAGAGAGAGAAAGAGAGAGAGACAGAAAGAACCCTTCACTCACTTTTCCCCTCATCACTGTGTATACGAGTTGCGGGCTGTCTTTCCAGCCAACCGCAAAGCATGTTGACGCACTCGAACTTCGTAGTCTGCTACCCCTAGATCTCCATGGCGTGCTTCTCCGTAGCTTCCAACTATAGGTGTGACGCGCTTGCGCCTGACTCCTTGGCCGCCGAGCAGGTTGATGTTCCACTCCCCGGAAGCAACATAGAACCGCAGGAGATCGAACCAACCTTCCTTCGTGAGCCCATCGGCCAACATTGACCATGTCGGCACATGAAGCAACGAACGAATCCTGTGATGAACTCTGTCATCTCGTAGAGCCATGATGGCTACTTGTTACGACTTTTTGGACAGTGCACCATGGCCTCCAGTGGTCAGCTCGGCGAGGCCCATGCAGTCGGTTACTGCATCACGTGGAATGACCGCCATAGCTTGGAGAGACAACTTCAGCATATCATGAGTTGCGATGCGTGCCTGAATTTCAGGCAAGATCACTCTGCAGAACAACTCCGTGAACCTCGCTGCGATGAGCTGCCCCGCCTGCGTGCATCCGATGGCCGAAGGCGTCTCCGCGCGCGACGTTGAATGCGACACTCTCGAGGCCTTCCGAGCATTGGAGAAGAGTCCGTATCCGAAGCCTCGAACTCGTGACAGATCATCTCCTGAAATCCACTCTGGAATGTCTGCCTTCCGCGGGTCGCGCACTTTCATGCAGATCTTGCCCTCGCATGGATTACAGCTCTTCTTGTTGGCGTGGCCACAGTCATGGATGCAGCATGGCCTTACTGGGAACGGCACTCTATGATAATGCAGCCCGTTCACCAGCCTCGCCTTTTAGCATGGGCTAGGGCTCGACTGGCACTCTTGAGCTGCTGCATCGGAGGGCGCGCCATCTCTAACTGCAATGTGCATCCTTGGCGACATAGCCATAGCAAGCAGCGCGCCAGAGATCGGAGCAGATGGTGCCCGAACTCGTCCAGGTCCTGGAAGTCCTCCTTGAGGTCCTGGATGTCCTTGTCTTTGGCCTCTGGCAGCTTCCCCAGGTAGCGTTGTTGTTGTGCGGGGAGGTGTCCTGGAGCAAGTAGCTCGCGCTTCATGCCCAGGCGCGCGAAAGGTAGTCCGGTCCACGTGGGGCTGCCAAACTCCTTGCCCAGCCCCGTCGCGACCTGGCCCAGGAAGTACGTGGTCGCCGCAAGCAATATATCGCCCACATGATTAACGCATAGGGCCACAACTTACCAGCCGCCAACGGTCATCAGGAACACCCGTCGCGCGTGCTAGCCCTGAGACCGACGCCTAGCTCGAGGTAAGGAAGGAGCGCGAGCTGCCACAGCAGCGGTGCATCCACCAGACCACACAGAGCCTTGAGTTGGACGCCCGAGTTATCCGGCGCAACTCGGGCCCGGGGTAACTCGGGTTCTGGGTTCCCGAAAAACGAACCCGAGTTAGCCCTGACTCGAGTTGCCCCTGATGATTCGGGGCTCTGGACGGCCGAAATATCCAGGGTAACTCGGGCCCTGGATAACTCGGGCTCGGACTAGCGAAAAAGGAGTCCGAATTAGCCCTGACCCGAGTTACCCCTGATCACTCGGGGCTCTGATTGAGGCACTTGAGAACGAGCAGCGGAATATCTCCATCCGGAACTGCGATGCGACTGCGTGGAATACTTCTCTAATGGCTCCATATGTGTGTCGGCGGGTGAAACCGCGCCTGCCTGGCCCTCTTAACTTCGCGGCCGAGCTCCTTCGCCTTGCTGGCAACTTCCAGGCACTCCAGCCCTTGAGCCAACGCTGTCGGTATGTCGAAGCTCTCCTGAGTGAGCTCGAACTGCATAGAAAGTGAACAGTCGCCGACGACTCAACCTTGACGCCTTTGAGTAGTGCCGGCTTACTGTAGTCTTCTGGCGATGCAAAAAAGCACGACCACTGCACTTTGACTTCGCGATGCGCTTCTGCCTGTTTACGCACTTCCTGACCCAGATGCCGTCGAACACGTTCGTGGCGCTGGTAGCCAAGTCGATCTCGAAGGCGTCGCGGCTGCAGATTGGGACTGTCTCCTCGTGCTCGCCAATCTCCACTGCATCCCAGCGGTCAACGACTTCTTGAAGCGTAAGCAAATCGTCCGATGACACAGAGAAGCAGCTGTTTCCACAATGGTCGTAGAAGAAACACACGGGCCTGGCCAATGGGCGCAGGAGGTCGACCAAGCCGATGCTCTGCCTGCTTCGCGTCGAACCAGACCTGGTAGCTGGGGAGATCCAGTTCCCCCTGCTTATCCTCATCCACATTCTCGCTCGTCGTTAGACCGTAGTCAATGGTCACCTGAAGATCGACGGGTTCGGCCACTGGAAGGATGGGTTCAGCTACATCAGGTTCTTCTGGTCGAGCGTCTTTGGCTGCGGGCGCTTCTGGAGGACTGCGTGACGCTCTGCGCTTTTGAGGCTGTGGCCTCGCTGCAACAAGAGACATGGCTCGATGTCGTAGGGCTTCTTGTCTAACTTCGCGTCCTTCGCGTGGATCTGGAGCAGGTCCATAGTCTCTGGTCTGGAAGCGACCGAACTCCGGTGCTGATGGCGAAAGTCCTTCTAGCATGAAGGGACCGCACCGAACCGAGAACCGAGAACCGTGACCGAACCGGACCGAACCGGTCCAAAACCAGGAACGTAGAAAACCGAACCGGACCGAACCGAATTCATTCAGAACCGAACCGGCGAAGACCGAACCGAACCAGAACCGGAACCGAACCGGAACCGGGCGGCCCCTGAACCGAACCGACGGGAACCGAACCGAACCCCTCTGGCGGGCTGCGACCCCCCTGGCGGGCTGCGACCCCCCTGGCGGGCGCGACCCCCTCGCGGGCTGTGACCCCCCTGGCGGGTGCGACCCCCCTCGCGGGTGCGACCCCCCTCGCGGGCGCGACCCCCCTGGCGGGCGCGACCCCCCTCGCGGGTGAAACCCCCCTGGCGGGAGCAACCCCCCTGGCGGGCGCAACCCCCCTGGCGGGTGCAACCCCCCTGGCGGGCGCAACCCCCCTGGCGGGTGCGACCCCCCTGGCGGGCGCGACCCCCCTGGCGGGCGCGACCCCCCTGGCGGACGCGACCCCCCTGGCGGGCGCGACCCCCCTGGCGGGCGACCCCCTGACCCCCCTGGCGGGCGCGACCCCCCCCCCCTGGCGGCGGGCTGCGACCCCCCTGCCCCCCTGGCGGGTGCAACCCCCCTGGCGGGTGGCGGGCGCGACCCCCCTGGCGGGTGCAACCCCCCTGGCGGGTGCAACCCCCCTGCAACCCCCCTGGCGGGCGCAACCCCCTGGCGGGTGCAACCCCCCTGGCGGGCGCAACCCCCCTGGCGGGCGCGACCCCCCTGGCGGGCGACCCCCCTGGCACCCCCTGGCGGGTGCAACCCCCCTGGCGGGCTGCAACCCCCCTGGCGGGCGCGACCCCCCTGGCGGGTGCAACCCCCCTGGCGGGCTGCGACCCCCCTGGCGGGTGCGACCCCCCTGGCGGGCGCGACCCCCCTCGCGGGCGCGACCCCCCTCGGGGCTGCGACCCCCCTCGGGGCTGCGACCCCCCTCGGGGCTGCGACCCCCGTCGGGGCACGTCGCTGGAGGGCCTCGCGCCTCCACGCCTCCACGTTTCTCCTCCTCCTCCTCCTCCTTCTCCTCCTCGTCGTCCTCCTCCTCCCTCCTCCGCCTCCGCCTCCGCCTCCTCCTCCTCCTCCTCCTCCTCCTCCTCCTCCTCCTCCTCCTCCCTCCCTTTTTTTCAAACTGGGTCGTCGCTTACGCAGACGGGGCGCCCAACGTCGCACCTGACCAGTCGGGCCGAACCGAACCGGAGCGGCCACTCGAACCGAACCGAACCGGTCGGACCCAACCGCGCGAAAACCGGAACCGAACCGAACCGGCGGCAGGCCCAAGCCGAACCGGCCGAAACCGGACCGATGCCAAACCGAACCGGCCAAGCAAAACCGACCCGGCTGCAGAACCAGACCGAACCGAACCGAGCCGATCCCTTCATGTTCTAGGTAGTGTAACATTGACTTCGGGTAGAGTCGGTAAGTGTGGTGAACGTGGCTTGCCGTAGTCGATCGCGTCTTCATTCGCAGTGCCGTAGTCAAGGGTGTCTTCTTCTTCTTCT